ACAACATGAAGGAAGACCTTCAGAATATTAACTTAGCCTGTCCTGGACCCAGTTTAATTCCAGGAATCACTGACATCAGATTCAGTGCAGTTCTAAATATGCTTCGTGAAATTGAAGAACGGAGGAGGAGAGAGAGAGAGGCGCAACAGGTAGAGGACGAGAGAGGAGGAGGAATGGCTGCTGCAAGGCTGCGTAGCTCTGGAGATTGGTGGTATACCTGTGAATGCTGTGCCCCAATGCCCACAGAAGAGGAATGCCTCTGTTGCAAGGAATGGGACCGGTTGCAGCCTTATTTTCAAGGTCTGGATGTGACCGAGGATGAGACACCTCCACCTGGAGTAACGTTAGTATCCAGCTGGGCTTTTTCTAGAGCTCGCGAGATATATTTTGGCCGCGCTTCGGAAAGCAGAGCTAACATGGCACCACACTGGTAACGTAAGACAACACGTTTACATGTCGTTTATTCTAACGATATGAGGCGGTCTTTGTGGGAAAAAAGCTTGTTTAGTGGACTAACCTTGCACTTGAAGTATGCCCGTTCACTTATGTTTTAACAGGTCTGATGCTGCTATGCGCCCTGGCTGTATCTAGGCTAACGGCTAACATGCTAACTATTATTTTTATGTCACTAGTCACTTGAAACAAATTTAGGACAATAGGAGACAGGTTGAAATAAACTGAAATTTCCCTTTAATTTATCATGTTTATCTGTTCTGTACGACATCTATTGCACGTCTGTCCATCCTGGAAGACGGATCCCTCCTCAGTTGCTCTTCCTGAGGTTTCTACTGTTTTTTTTCCCCGTTAAAGGTTTTTTTGGGGGGAGTTTTTTCTTATGCGCTGCAAGGGTCCTAAGTAAAGAGGGATGTCATGTGCTGTAAAGCCCTGTGAGGCAAATTGTGATTTGTGATATTGGGCTTTATAAATAAAATTGATTGATTGATTGATTGATTGATTGATATAAACCAGCTGCATTCCTCAGCTCCAGAACCTGGGTCAGCCTGTAGATAAACTTCACATCAAACCTGACCTAAAGATGGATCGTTGTTAACCCATCTCCCACCACACAAGTTGCAAAGCAATTATGGTGCCTGATTGGATCTTCTCTCAGGACTCTGTGGGCGTGTACAGACTGTGAATGACTGACATTTCTCTCATCTCCTGTTAGTTTGCTGCACCTGTTATCTCATTGTTATCAGTGAAAACACCTGTGAGGGTGTTCAGGGATTTCACTATGATCAGAGAGATCAGAGGGATGTAGTATGCTGTAAAGTGCTCTGAGGCAAATTCTTATTTGTGATATTGGGCTTTATAAATAAAATTGATTGATTGATGATAGAATTTTACATTTTTCTCGATGCAGAATTTGAAATAAGAAGATTAGAATCTTCTTAGAATTAGATAGAATTTCTTAGAAGCTTCCTTCTTTCTCACAAGGCTCACAGCGGTTGTGACATTACCCTGGCCAGACCTAGGGTTTTCAATCAAGGGGAAGTTTATTCACACTCGCCTTCACAGAAACAAAGGGCTGTGCACTCTAAGGCAGCCTTTTTGCATTTGCACTGCCCAACACAACCCTTCTTACATTTGCAGGAGACAAGTTCATAGATAGACTGGCTTGCATCCGGTAGGCATGTCCAGAGGGGTTCATAATATCCCTCAGATGTCTTTGACCAGCCCCATTTACATGGCGAAGGTAGTTGTGGGTGTGGACACCAGCACTTGACCCCACACATGGCCTCCTTGAACACTGCTCTCTTTCCAGTTCCAAATGCCAACCAAAGCTCATGTTCTGGCTGTAAAGTCTGAGCCACTGTCACAGCCAGCACCCCAACATCAGTATCAACAGTTTGAATCATGATATTCTGATGGCCATTTCTTGCTGCATGGGCAACATGTAATAACCTGTGACTATCGGTTTCCTCATGCGTACAAGGGGCAATCGAAGACACATCTAGCAATGATGGCTTTCTGAGGACTTCCCTATCTGCCCAACCAATTCTCACGCCAGCGACGAACGCTGGAAAAAAGGCTGGCAACTGAGTATTTTAGATTAATTTCAAACAGCCAGACTTCAGAGAGGGGAGAGGAGAGGAGAGGGGCAGACTCCGCCTGACCGGCGTACCAGTTGAGTGAAATGGAGTGCAGCCAAATGTTTCTGTGGAAAACTAATCTCTGATTGGTGTGCAATCCATATTTGCGCTTTGATTGGGCAGCTCTAGTCTCACAGTCAGCCAACTATGGGCCGTTTCACGCGGCGCCGAGGAGGACGTGACTTTTCAAGTGAACTGAGAGACGCTTGGCTGAACTTGAAGAAAAGTAAGTTGGCTCACTGGTAGTTTAATGTCTTCGGTAGCGCCCGGACTGTATACTGGATACTAGGGGTGACCCCGAATAGTCGATGATTCGGTGATTCGATTCGGAGAAGTCTGATTCGACTGCCAGTCTCGCCGTCGAATCATTCCAAAATGTGGTTATGAAACAAGACCGTACCATTCTGACTATATGAGGGTGCTCACTGCTGCTGAACATCTTGATTTGACATAGAATGTATTTGTTTTCTAGTAATTCATAATATATAGCCTATTTTGATACAAACATCAGCCTAATTTCTGTTAATAAAAAATTTAAAATGATGCGTGCATTTAATCAGTAGGCATAATCATTACTAAGCATGAATAAATCACCCAGTTGCATGGTCCAAATAAGCTAAGGTGAGTGAGTGCGCTGCAGGACCATCAGAGCAGCATCAAGGCCTACGGTGATTTAAAGTTAAAGTCCCACTGATTGTCACACACTTGAGTGTGTGAAATTTGTTCTCCGCATTTGACCCATCCCCTGAGGGAGCAGTGAGTAGCAGTGGTGCCGCGCTCGGGAATCATGTGGTGATGATTTACGGTGGCAGAGCACATAAACAAACACTTAGGAGGAGCTATGTGCTCTCAGATCAAACTTTTTTGAAGGATTATTCATTTACTTGAAGTGTCTTGAAACGAATTTCACCGCTGATTGTTTTCTTGATAGACTCTGATTTTTTATTTATTTATTATCACTAGTCTGTCTGACCAGTGCAGCCGGGAGTGGGGATTTCAGTACCACGGACAGCGCGTAAAATGACTTGACAAGCGTCTCCTTTTAAATGTGTTTGCTGCTAGCCAAATTATACATAATAAATAAAGACAGTGACATATTTTCAATAAAAAACAATGAGTTGAACGTTCATTTCAAGCTTTTGTAGTACAACGAATTTCAGAATTGTGCGAGTGCAGCCAGAGAGTGGGTGTCTGTTTGATGCACGACTTGAAAGTCAGTTTCGGAGTGGGGTTGGTTCGGAACAGCGGTGTTTCGGAATGGAGGGCTGTCCCTGGCTGGGCAGCGCGTCTGCGCTCATCTAGAGCATCATACCTTGATGAAGTGAAAGGAATAAAGATAAAGATAAAATGATAACCCTTTTACTTCTATTATTATCTTATTATGCCAAGTGAAGAATTAAATTTGTTTATTTGGGTGTTTTAGCTCTTTTCGCTGGAGCGGAAATTGACGCAAATGAGCTCATTAATCAATGAGGGGGAAAACAACATGATTCAACAATTAGTCGGCTAAAGGAGAAATCTGTCAAATCAGATTCGACTATGAAAATTCTTAGTCGGGGACACTCTACTACTGGATACACATACTGGATGTCCACTGGATCCGTCGCGTGCACGATTTGCCCGTGGCACGGACTCGCTCCGTCCCGTGCCAGGCATCAATGTCCACTGGAACTTTAGCGGCGCGCACGCAAGCGGCTGGAATTGTCGGATCGCGAGATCATAATGTCACGCGATAATTTGCAGAAACCCTGGAGGTATAAAGCAGGGCTGGACTGGGACAAAAAAATGGCCCTGGCATTTTTGGCCATGGCGGCCCACTATGATTGGTGAATGCCATACGCACACACTACACTGTTATCAAAATTAAAATATATCTCAGTAGTACCCTACGTGCCCTGGAAGAGAGTACCAAGGCTAGAAAATCAATGTGCTCATTCACTTCTCATATACATCCTGGTGGTAGTAGATGGCCACGGAGTACACAATGCCTATGGTGAAAGCACTTCTACAAGATTTTATCATTTAAATTTTTAATAAAATGTGTGCAAGTACAAATAAGATACATAAATGTCAGTTTTTTGTTTTTGTTTTTTTTTTGTCCAGCCCTGTACACAGGTCATTGAAAGTCCTTGAATTTATCTATTTCTGTATGAAATTGCATGAAAATAGGATTTCATAGTGTGAATTTCAAAATTTTCTCGGGGGACAACTCCCCGAACCCCCCCTTGAAATCTTTCTGTCTGTCACAACAGGACATATTACTGGACTTTTTTATGCAGATGCCTATACTACCATAGATTGATGAAATCGACCTTGATTTGCACCGTAAAACAAATATACATCTATGGAAGTATGTGGGGCTTAGGCCTATAGATATGAATATGTAAACGTACACTCATTTCTTCTGTTTGCCACATTGCCGCCGTGTTCACGTATGTTCATGACCACGCACGCACAAGCAGATATTGCGTCACAAGCTAAAATCTCACTCCAGTCCTCTGACCAAAGTTGGCAACCCTGCCCAACATAAGGTATAAGGAAAACATGTGATCCATTTAGTTGCCATGCTTTTTCACTCATCCCTCATTTAGTGTAGTAATCCTAGGGATTACAAGTGTAAAAGGACAAAAGAAAGGAAATGGACACCTGGACCAGTCCTCCAAAAGAGCTCTGTGGAGTACAAAGAAAATAGTTGACATTCAAAGTAGATTCTTGACCTTAGAAAAAGTAGTTGATATAACACCACACCATAAGATTTATTGTATATTATATGATAGAGGTGAAGTTGTAAAGGTTACCCTGTACACTGCACTTCAAGGTATAATATGAAGGCAGATTAAATCAGAAAAGAGGAACTGAAACCTTTTCAGGCCAACCTAGATGTTTCCATGCTCTCCTTGTGTGTAGGTGCTGGCAACAGACAGCAATCTGGGCATCGAATATGAGTACTGGCTGCCACCAGGCCAATACGCCATTCACCATGGGAGAAGGAGTCCACTGCGTCAAGCTCACCACACTGCTAACTACCTCCCCTGGGATCAACACACCACCACCCGGCCTCCCCCTGTCACCACTCAACCCCACTGGTGTAAGTCCTGCCTCCAGCTTCATTTAACCTCCCTAAATACTGTATATTCATACATGAAAGCATGACTTTAAAGGAATAACTCAACTCAAAATGGAAGTTAATACATTATCTACTCTTCTCCAAGTCCAGCTTCATTGAAGTTGGGAAAAAGCTAAGGTTGTGTTCAAACAGACACAGCTGCCTCATTCATTTCAATCAGGCCATTGCAGGGGCACCCCCAGGCATCTGCAAAAAAAACAAAAACAAAAAAAAACAATGTAGGGTCATCTGGCTGGGCCTGGCTCAACTTTTGCCAGAACAACACAACATCTTAAAGTGGAGTGCTGTGTTAGACAATCAAATGCATGCAAGCACACATTCCTGGTAGCTTATCGATACCTTGTAATGTAATTCTACTGTTGTAAAATCCTTTCTCATATTATAAACCATTGTGCAGTGTTTTGGTGTATGATATTCAATTCAATTTCAATTCAATTTTATTTATAAAGCCCAATATCACAAATCACAATTTGCCTCACAGGGCTTTACAGCATACGACATCCCTCTGTCCTTATGACCCTCGCAGCGGATAAGGGAAAACTCCCCCAAAAAAAACCCTTTAACGGGGAAAAAAAAACGGTAGAAACCTCAGGAAGAGCAACTGAGGAGGGATCCCTCTTCCAGGACGGACAGACGTGCAATAGATGTCGTACAGAACAGATCAGCATAATAAATTAACAGTAATCCATATGACACAATGAGACAGAGAGAGAGATGCAGGTAATAACAGTAGCTTACAACAACATTACTGAAAGTAATAATATTATAGTTAAAGTTCTGGCTACTGTGGTACAATATGTTGAAAGTATGTATTAATATCTGTCAGTATACTTGTGTGACAATAGTCATATGTGTATAATAACAGTAGAAGTATGACTAATGACTAATGATGGCAGCAGCAGCAGGAGGCATCTGGCAGGACCACGGCACCAGCACAACCACACACGTCACGCTGTCCAGGCACCACTGCGATATGAGTTCATCTGAGAAACAGTGGAGCACAAAGGCTCCGGAGAAGAAGCCGAGTTAGTGACATCCAGAATGGTCGAGTTAGCAAGATGCAGTAATAGAATACGAGAGAGAGAGAGAGAAGGAGAGAAGGTGCCCGGTGTATTATAGGGGGGTCCTCCGGCAGACTAGGCCTAAGTCAGCCTAACTAGGGGCTGGTACAGGGCAAGCCTGAGCCAGCCCTAACTAGCTTATAAGCTTATAAGCCTAACTAATAAGCTTTATCAAAGAGGAAAGTCTTAAGTCTAGTCTTAAATGTGGAGACGGTGTCTGCCTCCCGGACCGTAACAGGAAGATGATTCCACAGGAGAGGAGCCTGATAGCTGAAGGCTCTAGCTCCTGATCTACTTTTGGAGACTTTAGGGACCACGAGTAACCCTGCGTTCTCAGAGCGCAGTGTTCTGGTGGGATAATATGGCACTATGAGCTCACTAAGATATGACGGAGCTTGACCATTTAGAGCTTTATAAGTTAACAGTAGGATTTTAAATTCAATTCTGGATTTTACAGGGAGCCAGTGCAGAGAAGCTAAAACAGGAGAAATATGATCTTGTTTCTTAGTTCCTGTTAGTACACGTGCTGCTGCATTCTGAATTAGCTGGAGAGTTTTTAAGGACTTACTAGAGCTACCTGATAATAGAGAGTTACAGTAATCCAGCCTTGAGGTAACAAAAGCGTGGACCATTTTTTCTGCATCTTTTCGGGTCAGGATAGGCCTAATTTTCGCAATATTACGCAGATGAAAAAATGCAGTCCGTGAGGTTTGTTTTAAATGAGAATTAAAAGACAAATCTTGATCAAATATTACTCCGAGGTTTCTTACAGTAGTGCTAGAGGCCAGAGCAGTGCCATCTAGAGAAACTGTGTCATCAGATAAAGAGTCTCTGAGTTGTTTGGGGCCAAGAACAATAACTTCAGTTTTGTCTGAATTTAACATCAGGAAATTGGTGCTCATCCAGGTTTTTATGTCTTTAAGGCAGTTATGGAGTTTTTAGTTAATTGATTACTTTCTTCTGGCTTCATCGATAAATACAACTGTGTGTCATCCGCATAACAATGGAAATTGGTCCAAGCACAGAACCTTGCGGAACTCCAAAACAAACTTTAGTACGTAAGGATGATTCATTATGAATGTCAACAAACTGAAAACGATCAGATAAATAAGATTTAAACCAGCTTAGTGCAGAACCTTTTAGGCCAATTAAGTGATCCAGTCTCTGCAGTAGAATTTGATGGTCAATTGTGTCAAACGGCGCATTAAGATCTAATAAAACAAGTACAGAGACAAGTCCTTTGTCTGAAGCAATCAGAAGGTCATTTGTAATTTTAACTAGTGCTGTCTCAGTGCTATGATGCACTCTAAATCCTGACTGAAATTCCTCAAATAAATTATTATCATGGAGAAAATCACACAGCTGGTCTGCGACTACTTTCTCAAGGATCTTTGACATAAAGGGAAGATTAGATATTGGTCTATAGTTGGCTAACACCTCTGGATCCAGGGTGGGCTTTTTTAGTAGAGGTTTAATTACAGCTACCTTAAAAGACTGTGGTACATAGCCTGTTAATAAGGATATATTGATCATATCTAATATATGAGTGTTAACTAAAGGAAAGACCTCCTTAAGTAGCCTAGTTGGGATGGGGTCTAAGAGACACGTTGATGATTTAGATGAAGAAATCACTGCGGTCAATTCTTGAAGAGAAATTGGGGAGAAGCAATCTAAACATATATAAGGTCTTACAGCTGTGTTTGAGGTTAGATAGGTACTATCTGAGGACAGGAGGTCATGAATTTTGCCTCTAATAGTTAGAATTTTGTCATTAAAAAAGCTCATAAAATCATTACTGCTAAGGGCTAAAGGAATACAAGGCTCAATAGAGCTTTGACTCTCAGTCAGCCTGGCTACAGTGCTGAAAAGAAACCTGGGGTTGTTCTTGTTTTCTTCTATTAATGCTGAGTAATAGTTTGCTCTGGCATTGCGGAGGCCCCTCTTATACGTTTTGAGACTGTCTGTCCAGATTAAACGAGATTCTTCCAGTTTGGTCAATCGCCAATTCCTTTCAAATTTTCGCGATATTTGTTTTAACTTACGGGTTTGAGAGTTATACCAAGGAGCGAACTTTCTTTGCTTTTTTAACTTCTTTTTAAGAGGAGCTACAGAGTCAAGTGTTGTTCGCAGCGAGCCTATGGCGCTATCGACAAAATGATCAAAGTCGGTACAGGAAACCTCTGTTACTGAGGGACTTGGTATTGAATTTAACGACAGAGTAATCTTTTCCTTAAATTTTGCGACAGCACTATCTGATAAACATCTAGTATATTAACTGTTGCTCAGTGGCGTGTAATCGAGTAAAAAGAAATCAAAAGTAATCAGATAATGATCCGATAGCGAGGGATTCTGTGGAAAGACTTTTAGGTTATCAATTTCAATTCCATACGTCAGAACTAGATCGAGGGTATGGTTAAAACAATGAGTGGGTTCATGTACACCCTGACTGAAGCCAATGGAGTCTAATAATGAGATAAACGCGGTAGCCAGGGTGTCATTATCAACGTCGACATGAATGTTAAAATCGCCTACAATAATAACTTTATCTGATTTAAGAACTAAACTGGATAAAAACTCTGAGAATTCAGATACAAATTCAGAATACGGGCCAGGAGCATGGTACACTATAACAAATAAAAGCTGAAACGATTCCTTGAGTAACCTGAATAATTCGATTACTTAAAAGCCTTAAGGCATATTATTTGCCTCAAGGCTTCGTTAAATTCAGTACAACTATACAGCGCACTGAGTTTCTGTTTATTTCTGTTAGACAACCCACTTACGTTACTTCTGCTGTAGAGCTATAAATTATTATTTATTAATTATTATTATGATTATCGTCAATAATGTGTTTGACATGTTATAATGAAGATTGAAATATCACTGCCATGATGGTTTGCAGGTAGGGCTACATGTGATGAATTAGTGGCATGGGCACTATTAATAGCCACAGCCGTGCGTAATGGTCGCGCGTAATGACAGCTGTTCTGTTGGAGAACCACACTGGTGCGAGACACTCTGTAAAACTGCACTTCTTCTCTGGCATTTTTATAACTGACAGATCTAATGAGTGGTGGAGCGGGCACAGATAACGATGTGCAAACTGATTGAAGGGAGTTTCTGCATCAGTTTCACATTGTGTGTGAGTAAACAAAGCTTGTGCATCTGCGCCCACTAGGGTTGTCACAATACTAAAATTTCAAACTTGATATCGATACTCAGGAAAATATTCAATACTCGATACCATTTTAGATACCGCGGGGGTAAAAAATGACAAATACTTAAAGGCATAAAAAATATTTTTATTAACATGAAAAACTCAAAAAAAGGTTTTTCAATCTCAACATGGAACATGCTTTCTCAACAGAACCGCAGATGCTAGTTAAATAATCAGAAAATGAAAAAAAACAACAATAAAAAACAAGATAATCACATTTTGTTTTCACTGAGTGCAAATAAATGCAAAATAATTAACCCAAATATAACACAATTTGAAAATATTTTAAGGTTGTCTGAGGTATTATTCTTTTAACTTAGTGCAAATAATCCAAAAATCTAAAATTAACAATAGAAAAAATATGCAAACAACACTTGTCTGAGGTAATGCAAAAAGAAACTGGTTTTCTGGGGTAATGTAAACTGCAAAGAACAAAAATAGCAACAATGACAACATTTTTGGTTGTCTGAGGTAACACAACACACAAAAGAAACAACAATTAGAACAATATTTTGAGGTATTAAACTATACAAGTAGACAACAACTAGTTAAAATGAACATCACACAGTTGAAATGCTGTATTCTCAGCTATACTTTTTGTTTTGTTTTTTAAAAAAATGGCTGAAATTGAAAAGTGCACATATTTATTAAGGCACACAAAAGTTCAGAAAATGCACTTTACT